TATAGCTGTGTTTCATGGTACCTGGTTTGGTTTGTTTGTTTTTATTTTAGTAATATGGAAACTAGATAGAAGCTCCCTGACTTTTCTGTTTACCAATGTATTTGTTGTATCCAGTGGCTTATTAATTATGAAAATTGTTGTTTATTGCAGGGAACCTGCACTGGGGATGTTTATTTATTTATTTATTTTTAACACAGATTAGCTTCTATATAGTCATATAATAAAATTTCACCTAGTGTGTGTTTTTTTTAACATCTACTTTTTAAATTTTTGGGTTGCTTTTGGCATTCTCAAGCCTTCTAATTTAATATGTTTTGCTCTTGTTCCTTGATTAACCAGATGGTACTGCCTAACCTGGTCAGTTACCACCCAAACACAGCCTGAAATTTAGAAGGGCTGTTAGTTTTCTGGGACACGCGTGGTGAGTGATCAGAGGTTAAAAACAGTGTCTAAGTGTTAATCAGATGAGTGGAAATAAAACAGGGGTTAATATTTTCATCTCATTTTGATCACTTGTACACATAGCAAACACGAGAAGATGCTGAGGTGCCACATTTCTCTATTTACACTGGGCCGTATTTACTTGTAGTGAACTTGAACATAAACTAAAGAGAGAAAAATGATAACATGTTATTTTCAGGATTGTGTCATCTCCCCTCCCACCCAATTCCTTCCATTGTCTCCTAGATTAGAAATAAGTAATTGTTTCTATGAGTGTTTTTATTTGTTTGTTTGCTTTTGTAGACCTTTCCCCTCCCACTACCTACCCTCCCCATTGGGAATAAAAGAAAATAATAAGGGTTATTATTTTTAATAGTCTGGAAGCATTCGAATGATACAGAATCATTTTGAGAAAAAGAAAACTGTATCAGGCAGAATTTACACAGCAGTGTATGGGCTTTTAACAGCAGTTGTTAGTGCTAACGACATTTTCCCAGTTGCTGGTATTAAGGTAGCAACAGGCCTGTACTAGCCGTGTTGCAGTGGCCCCAGAACAGCTGTAAGGCTGCCATTCCAGCAGGTAGGGAGCACCTGGGACCAGCCACACCCAGTGGGTATCAGTCAACAGGGTACCATGCTGTGTGTTTTTTTAATTCTTGATTTCCTCTTGAAACGCAACTAAAGAGTGTGAACAGTGTGTGTGTTTTTAAATTCAGTTTTGTATGCTAGCATTCTTTAAATGTCTGCCAGAAGTTTAATTTGAATTTCTGATCCCTGAAGGCAGCTAGACAGAATCATTCTAGTTCTTCATAAATTGCCTTCTATGATTCATTGTTAACTCATAAAACACTCATTTCTGTGGACTCAAACAGTTAAGGTAGTTACAGTATTGGGGATATCATTTGTTTGTTTTTTTTTTTTTCTTTGCCTTATATTTAGATTGTCTTTTGAAAAAGAAACAAGAACAGACTTGAACTCATGGTTGTGGTATGAGCCCTGTAGCACAGAAAATATCAAAAATGAATTTTTTTTTTTTAATCCCAAGAAGGGTAAGGGAGATGGCATGGGATTGGAAAGAAAAAGTTTCATTTTTTTTCCTGAATACTCTCAAAGAGGGGCCCATAAATATTAGAATGCTGTAGTTAAAAACTCACATGACTGTTTTAAATACTATTGATTTAAACCACTGGCTAGATTTTATGAATCAAAGTGTAATTTCTAAGCTTTGGCCATATTTCTCGATGCTAAAGCACTCTCTCTCGTGTGCCTTTAGCTGCTTTCCAGACATTCAACACAGGATTAAATGATAGTAGTTACAGTGATCAATAGGTTAAGACTGCTACAATCACTCTTGCCGCTAACGACCTCAGTAGTAATGGGCAATAAAGTGTGGGCAATAATAGGCTCTCGCTGGTACTGCCTGCCCTTTGATTCCTGGTATTAGTAGGGACTAGCTACATGAAAAAGTTGGACATTGGGAATTAAGGTAGTGGATAGATAGGCTATAATTCTTAACTATTTAAAGCCTTAAACTGCTCAGATTTTTTTTTTTTTCTTTTTGTCTTTTCTACTCCCACTACGGTTGCTGGTCCATTGGAATATGTTTGCTAAAGCTGTCCATAACGTGTTTTCATGACATGTTGGAGCAGAACCTTGGGAGACATCTTGGTTTGATTATGTTGATGAATGAAGCTGGAGCCTGCGTTGGAGGCCCAGAACGAACTGGTGTGAAAACGTGGTCTCAGATAGTAAAAGCAGAGTTAAGACCTTCAGGTTGGAATAGCCCACTTCTGATTATGCGAAAAGTCATCAGCCAGTTTGGGGGATTATTGAGGCTTCTTACTGCTGTCCTTCCTTTGGCTGGGCCTGCTGCTTTAAGCATTCATTACTCATCAGCATCTCCATCAAAGTGTCCAAAGGGAAAGGAAGGGGAGACTCAAGTTCATTTTGGTTTTCTGTAACACAACTGCAAAAATGAACTAACAACTTGAGAAAAGTCTATTTCAACCATTGGCTCTATGGAAGAGTTTAAAATTTTTCTGCGTGTCAGTCCTTTCTCCGATCTCTTTTTATCATCATTTGGAACGGTGGTGTATCTCATTTAAGAAGATGCACACAATTTTACTAGAGTCTGGAAAAAACTATTACAGGATTAAAAAAAAAAACTTGATGTAAATTCTGTATTATAAAAGACACTGATTTTTAGTTTGTAGTTGGAGAGTTGTGACAGTTGTTTCATCTGGGTGACCTCTCCCCCAGTCAAGATGTCACCCCTTAAAGTTTACTTTTGTCCTTTCTAAGCATAGGAGTTCCATAGCTCTTTTAAAAAATTATGACCAGGAGATGATTTCTGTGATCATTTCTGTTATAACTCTGTTAAGTTCACGTTCATCACCAGTTTAGATTTTACACCGCCCTATTCCTGTCTGCTTTCCTGTTCATCACCATCAGAAATTTGGCTCAAGAGTATTTATATTGTACATCGTCCAAGAAACGCAGAGGAAAAAAGAAACCTTAAACATGGTTCCTTTGTTTGCTTAATCAAACCTCCCTATGATGATGCAACTCTCAAGGAAAAGTAAACTTCTATTGTGATCTGTTGGCTTTAGCTGCTCAAAAGCTAGTGATTGGCACCCAAAACACATTTTTAAAAATTCGAAAAGCTTCTTCTGTATGGAGGCACCAAATACTAATTGGCATTAATTTGTAGCTGGTTAGATATTTTGATAATGCTTTCTTAGTGTTTGCCCTAGAGTGAATGCAGGCTCACTGTTCCAGTCGTCGGTGATATTTTGTACTGTGAATTATCTTTTTAAAAGGATAATTTATCCATTCATATACATCTGTCCCTTTTTGCATATAAAAATATTCCGACGTGCCCATCTGTTTTAAATTGCAGTATCTCCGTCTACACTTAAAAGGCCACTGCAATAGGAAGAATTCATGGATGACCTTCCCGTGTTGGGTTAATGAAATTTTTTGAACGTCGTAGCCAGTGTTTTCTAAACACGGGAAACTTGCACCTCCACATCTCCACACATACAACAGGCGCACAACAACAGTGGTGAATGTTCACTGTACACGAATCTGACCTTCAGGAACCATTTTTAGTTCATCAAAATTAGTGATGCTGAGAAATCGGGACATCAGTGCATAATGACTGTGAAATTAGGAATGAGAGCTCGCTATGCAAATGACAGGACAAATCATGTGAAAAAGTCAAGATAAACTGCATATTAAGACATTATGTTACATAAAATTAATACTGCATTTCTTCCTTTTGCTTACTGCTCTCCTGAAAGATTTTTTTTTTTTAATTCTTTTATCTTCTGATCAGCTATTGTCTGCTGGATTTTTTTTTTTAAGTGGCTCACAGGCAAAGTGCAAAACATGTTATTACCTTTTATTGTAATACATGAGATGACAGCAGATCCTTTTTAACAAAGTATATCCTTTACTGCTTCTAGCTTCTCGCTGTCACATGTTTGATTAGAAACCAAAGAAAAGTAAGATGCTTAAATATTACTCTTAGGAGACATACAGGTTTTGTCTTTTCTTTCATTGTTTTTTTTTTATTTTTTTCCTTTCCTTATCTTTTTTATGGGGGGGTGATTTTTCATGAAATAGTCTTCTTGCATTACGGGGACTGACAAAATGGTTCTCATGTAGTCTGCAAATTAAACACAAGTGCAGTGATTATTTTGAATAGCTAAATTACATTCTAGAAAGCTTGCAGAATTCATAGCATTGTCATTAGGTATCCGCTTGAATACAATTTGTGTAACCTTGGCCAAGACAGCCTGTCATTTTAATGTCAGTGTTTTATCTGAACAAGACATCATCCTTTCAGATACAGTGCGCAGGTTCCTTGCAAAGATGCCCGTGCAGAAACGTGTTAACAGTTGCAAATATGAAATGCTATCAAGTTCATCACTGTAGCTGTTTGTCACTGAAATGTCATGGAAAGCAGCTTTTAATGGTACCGCACATAATATGAAAGAATCGAGACATCTGTAAGCTGGGTGAATAAGGAAGGGGGGTAAAAGGCGTCACACGAAGGGTCTGAGTTTAAGTTCCGAAGGTGCGGCCAAGGTTCCCTTACCCGCAAGACTAAGCATTCATTGATTGTGCTTAAAATCGCTGTCCGTGGAGAAGCAGGTCCCATGAACTCCAGCTGAAAAAGATAATGGTTCCCATTTACCTTCTTTCTGAAATAATACTTCAAGTTGGGGTTAGCTTTCTACAGCTCGTTGCTAGTTCTCTAGTCATTGAGATGGTTCTAGCCCAACTCCAGGGAGCATGTACGAAGTTCCTCCTCCTTATGTGACTGTAAGCCTGTCTGGGATACCTCGTCAGTACACTCAGAGGTTGTCTTACTTATTTACATTGTGAATGCACTCCATAGTAGATTAAATAGGATTTGTTGCCACAGCCCCTCTGGATAAGTACGCTCTGCACGGGAAGCTGGGGAGTTCTTCAAGCAGGCTGATAGCAGCCTGCTGGTGCACCTGGTATGTGCGATTTCCCGGCTGCCTATTGATCTTTCATTCACGTTCTAGGTTCCCGTGTCAGTGGCTATGATGACACCTCAAGTGATCACTCCCCAGCAAATGCAGCAGATCCTCCAGCAACAGGTGCTGAGTCCTCAGCAGCTTCAGGTTCTTCTCCAGCAGCAGCAGGCCCTCATGCTTCAACAGGTAATTGTCCTTCCTCCCCCTGCAGCTTCCGGTAAAACCCAGGGCCCACCACTTGCTCCACTCAGGAGTCCCTCTTCACCTGATCAGCTCTTTTTCCTTAAAGAAAAAGCAGAGCCTGCAGGCGGGGCAGCACTCAGGCCTTGCCTGCATAATCATTGCATTAGCATCCCCAGAAGAGAGGAGTCCTGGCACAGGGACTAGGGCCTGGGCCTGGGGAGTACCCGATGGACTGAGATTAGGGCTGTAATTGGACTTGGTAGAAATAAGATCTTTTCAGCTTACGTGGCTTTACACTCTTTTCTTTGGTAAGCCCAGGGGCTTCTAAATGGTGTGAATCAAAGCAAAATGAGGAACACATTGGGAGCAGGTTTAAAGATGACAGCTCTTGAAGTCCCCATTTCAACTCAGAAGCTTGCAGAATTAAAAAAAAAAAAAAGAAGAAGAAGCCCTAACTAAGTAGTTTGGAGTTACTTGATTTTAAGGGGCAGAGTTAATTGTATTTCTTCTAAGCATGCTGAAATGAACTCCTGGCTATCACTGTGCTGTGGGGTCCTAATATTCAGACTGAATGGGCACCTGACCAAATAGGGATTTCGCAGGTGCAGTGGTGGGAACTCCAGGCGTGGGACAGTGGGGACAGGAGGCAGAAGGAGTTCCTCATGCCAGTGGTACCACACTGTACACCACCACCTACTGCCCATCCCTATCGTGCAGAAAGTGTGCACTGGGGATTCACCAGACTCTCTCAGCCAGGGCATCTCCGTTTTGCTGTACAATCAAAGGTCATTCCTTGCCGTATTTTAATTAGTTTGTGTAGAAAATGGTATGTTTTTCATCAGTGCATTTTGGAGATTACTTTTCAAACAATAATGCCAAGAATAGTCCATGTGCACTGAATTTATTGTCGAGTTTCAAACTAAAGGTCAGGCCATTACTGATAAAAGGATGCTATTTTTCAAATCGCAGTTAGCGTGTGGCACCGAAAGGGACAGTGGATTGGCACTCCTTCTGTGACTTACCGTCCTCTCTTTCCTTTGTAGCAGCAGCTTCAAGAGTTTTACAAAAAACAACAGGAACAGTTGCAGCTCCAACTTTTACAACAGCAACATGCTGGAAAACAGCCGAAAGAGGTACCGACAATACATATTTTACTTTCAAACCGCAGATCCCAGAGGACGATCTAGTGGCTATTAAACTGTCATCCATCTTTTACACGATTGCACAACTGAGTTGACTCTATCGGTCCTCAGCTTTCAGACCGAGGGTTATTGTCCTGTTTTCTCTCAGATTTTTCTGGGTTCCATTTGCTTTCTGCCACATATTTTATAATGCTGCTGCCCATGGACCTGTGTGAGAATCAGGTGAGGGATCGTGGGCAGAACTTTCTGGAACTCCCTTTGCAAACTGACAGAACCGAGGGCCAGAACGGAGCTGGAGATGGGAAGTGCTTTCAGTCAAATTTTACTTGGATGCACACTTCAGCTTTTCTTCTTTTCCAGCTTAGAGAGTCTGGGTGTGTGGCGATGGCCTTTTCCACTGGAAGAATAACCTCTTGCAGGTTGGGCAAACAAAGTTGAAACAAGGGGCTGGCTGATGCCATGGTGGTTAAGGGCGCTGGACTCCCACATGGCCAACCGTGGTTCGAGTCCCAGACCTGGCGACTTGCCTTCTCACTTCTCTGTCT